CTTCTGACTGGTTAAAAAATGAAAACAAAGAAGAAATCATGTCAATAGAGCCCAAAATGGAAGATTTAAAAAATCCTGTCAATAGTGCCAAAAATGGCACTGCTGACAGGACGATCCTGTCAACAGTGTCAAAAATGGCACTGCTGACAGGACGATTCCTAGTCAGCAATGCAGTATTTCCTGTTATTGACAGGATACGTCCTGTCAGCAGTGCAATATTTTCTGCTATTGACAGGACGATCCTGTCAGCAGTGCAATATTTTCTGCTATTGACAGGACGATCCTGTCAGCAGTGCAGTATTTCCTGCTGTTGACAGGACGATCCTGTCAATAGCCTCAGGCTATGGTTTTTGACATTCTGTGATAACCGACCAAGTTCAGTAGACTCTATCAGGCTCTGGGAAGTGGCTGGAAAGAGTAGAAATTGGCCAGAAGGACAGATAACATACCATTGGAGCTGCAAAATGAACTACCGGGTCAACTCCCCTGATACGTTATCTGCCGTTCTGACAATTTTTCTCTTCCCGCTGCTTCCCAGAGCCTGCTGGAGGCTACAAATTCAGGGCAAACCCAAGAGAAAGACTTCCTTCCCGATATATCTTGGAGATAAGGCTTACCCCCTCTGAGACTTTTTTGCAGTCTCTATCTGAATTTATCTTATCACTGTTGTCTCCCAGCTTGTGGTGATCAGTTCACAGCATGGTGCCTACAAACCACATTGTTTATACAAGTGTGAGGGGGTTAATGGATAAGATAACTTCAGAGTCACGCTCCATTGAAACAGGGGATAGGTTAGTGTGCGCCAAACCTATGTCTTTTTACTACCAAGACATTCTCCTATGGTGAGGGTAAATAAACAGATGAAGAAAGTAACTTGGGTGGCATACTTTGAGGTGGTTTTACAATCAATAGATTTTCCTTACATATCTCTCAACAGAAGTGGCTGAAATATTGATAGATGTACAAGACTGTTCATCAGAAACATGCTGAACTGGATGCATGGTTATAGCTTCACCCTTGAGAATTAAAAGTTCATCCTTTTACTAGCATTGCTCATAATACAGACTGCAATTTTCAGAAACTCCATATTCTTCAGGACTTTTTTTAGATGCTGAAAAAATAGTTGCATCAATCTAATACAAACATTAACATCTTTATCTAAAAGGCTGTCAAATCTCTATAAAACCTACAACAGATTATGATATCAGAAACTTCAACCTGTCAATCATTCAGCAAGGTTATTAATGGCCCACCTGCCATGAATAATGGAGCTGGTCTAATGGGAAAGCAGTGTTCAGGTTGTGTAAGTGTTTTAGAAGTTCACCTTGAGAGTCTGTAACAGAGACACGACGTGTCCAAACTGTCGTGAACAGTTCACACCTGGAGTGCCAACACAAAAGAACCTGTCATGGGGTTGTTCTGTTCAGGAAATGAAGTTTAACAATGGCATTAGGGACAAGCATAGGATATGAGCAGCAACCATGCTGTACAATGTAGGTCTTTATCACCATCAAGGTCACTACTTTACAACCACGTTCCTCTGATTTAACAACAAGGTCAATTCTTTTAACAACAAGGTCACTACATCATCAATAAAGACATTGACACCTTGATGGAGTGTGTCATGCAAAAGGCAGAAAAAAAAAACAACTAGGTTAGAAACTTTCCTAACCTCTTTCTTTGATAAAATGTATGTTTGAAAGGGAAGGAAAAGCGACAAGATAAAGTAAGTACTTTTGCTGCTCTTAAGTACATTTTTTGAGGGGAAGTATTTCTTCTGTTGAGGAACTTTGTTTCACACAAGATAAGAACTTTTACTTGTATCTTGTCATCAATTAAATCATAAATTTAATAGGTTGCCATAATATTGGTACAAAAAATGAAGTTTTCAAAATAAAATCTTTTTGATACAAATGACTGAACATTTGTCTAACTATTGATAAATGCTAAACAAAGTCCTCATCAGCTCTGTAAACCATGTAGTGCTGATTCCCCACTATTAATGGTGAACATGAAATATTAAAGCCATGCGCGTCCACTTCTCCCAATCCACTTAGCCCTGCTGCAGGGAAAATCCATCTCCTCCATTCACGGCCACACAGTGCAAACCTCTGCAGCTTTCCCAGGCGTACTGAAATCTGCAGGGA